AGACACATTAGACTCCTATGTAACCCAACAGATGCAAGACCATTCTAATCCAATGACAAAAGGAAGCTCCGATTACAAATTAGCTATAAGGTGCCACCGTTTCTTCCATTCTTACTCCCGAGCGCTGATAAACAAGGATGGGTAGACAGCTGAGAATGAAGTGCTGTAAAGGATGAGGGGCCTAGAATAGATTGCAAAAGTGCTAAGACTAAGTAAGGTGCTTGTTAGGAGGGTGCAGAATAACTGAGTGGCGAGAGGTCAAGGCAGGCTCATATCCTCACAAAAGGTCTTGAGTAATGGCTCCCCTACAAATCAACACTGTAGAGTTGACAATACAGCAATGCTGTTTAGAAAGTGATTTGCAGTTAAGGTGGTTAGTTTGACCTGCTCATCATGCTCTTTCCGGAATAATAAAAACGAACAAGCACCTCAACGTTACTTGCACGACTGCTGCATTCACAATATATTAACTTCTGTAAACACACAAATTGCATTTTGTATCTTACTGAATCCTTTTGTTTTGGGAATCTTTCAAGAGCTGGAAGATTCTTGAAGAACAAATGGGTGAACACGAATGAAGCTGTTGTTCGTTTGAATGACTGCACTTGAACTTGGTACAAACTGTAAACCACAAGTGATGGATATATCAACTGCGTAGTCAAGAAAGGTCATAGCTACAAACAAGAACAAGCAAGAGTCGCAGCTGTCTCTGCATTAGGAGAGATCAAAAGGTCGCAAATATCCATTGTTGCCGTTACAGCTGTCTACTGACAATTTTACTGCTCCCCGACAGTCATCTTGCTCGTGAGGCATTGTTACCTTGTCTTTATCCTTGAGCACAAAGATAAACCTGTGAAATTCCCAGTGCATGCCTTTCTCTCTTTGAGGACAGAAAATGACACAGTTATAGAAAAGCATCCTGGCGCAGCTGAAGCATATCATGTGTACGTGACAAGAAATATTTGCACTATCCATAATGTGAGACAAAGCATTATGTTGTTGCAGGAATCTGTTAATTAAGCAATGTATGATTATTATTGTGTGCAGCAAGTTTAACTATGGTGCACTACACACAAGAGTTTCCACACCTGTAATGTTTTGTGCACATAAAAAATTCAGAGATGTTGTAAATTTGGCACTACAAATGGAACTACAAAAATGGAACTTAACTACAAATTATGACATGATATGTGAAAATGTAACACTAAAAAAAAAAA